TTTTTTTTTCTTTTTTAGTGATACCTTCTCTTTCTCTTCTCCCCTCTCCTACAGACTTCCCTCCCACTGGGTCCAGGCTCAGAACCAAGATCTCTGTCCCTGGTGCTGCCTGACTAGTGACTGGTGATTTCAAGTAGCGTAGCCCTTGTGTGATTCACAACTCCGTGTCCTTCCTAAAGTTTCGGGAAGCAGGGTTGTCTGATATGCACAATTCTTATTTTGGCCATATTTTACTTTAGTGTCACTCACCTTTGACAAAGTGACTTTGTACTCATTTAGGGCTCTGTCCAAAATGCTTCCATTTTGCCTTTTTCTACAGTTAGGCTAATCTTGAAATGTATGAAATTCTATGCAACATTTATGTTGAGTTACCAATGGAAGCCAAAAGTCTTCTTCCCAAACTGCCAAGAATTATACAGGCCATAAATGAGAGGGGAATATCTTTTAATTTAAATTTGGGGGTGGGGTAGGGGTGGGACAAGGAACGAGACTTACCTAGACCTTTGTTGTGTCTTGGGGACATTTTTTATTTTACTGTTGATGCTTCAACTTCAAAATTCTGTGTATTCAAATTTGATCGTGGCGAATCTACTTCAAAAGGAAAAAATAATCCAACTTTGTGGATATTAAATGGAAGGTTTGCTGTTTTAATCTAGTTTCCAGTGGAGCAGTTTATGAAATATGTCCTATAAGATGTACATTTTTTCATTGTAACATAGAAATTGTAAATAATTGATTAAAGTGCTGCATTTTGATGAATTTTTTCTAGCCATTTTTAAAGAGAAAACTAGGAATTGAGTATTTTGTGTACGGTATGTTTCCTTCCTCCTTCCCTCCCTCCCTCCCTATTTAATTTTCATTTGTCATGAGGTTTTTGGATTTGCCAATGATCTACTGGAGATCATGCCCCACGTCATAGAGAATAAAGCTGATGATTGTACCAGTCTTAAATTATTCATGATTCAATAAAATTGATGCTTATTTATTCAGATTCGTGGTTTGGCTTTTCTGTGCTGGAGCAAGTCCTTGTCAGAGTTCAATTTCATTCCAACAGGAAGCCATTCTTCCTTGGGTACAGCAAACAGGGAGAGCCCAAAACACTTGCAAACCTATCTTTGCCGCTCTGTCATCAACACCCTACCTCTTCTCAGTTTCTCATGTAAGTGACTACTTGTGTGGCGCTTTTTGGAAATGTAAAACTCCAGACTCCTCTCCACCTTTATGAATCATGGAGGTTCTTGTGGAAATGAAGATTCTGATTTGGTGGGTCCAGAGTGGGGCCAGGTTCTTAATTTCTAACCTCCTTCTAGGCAGTGCCGGTGCTGTGGGCCCTACAGCACACCTCGAGCAGCAAGCTATATCATTCTCCAGCTGGACCCCCGGTCAACTCCTTGGCACAAGAAAGATTTTTTTTTTAATGTATTGAGAACCTATTAATGGTCAACTTGCTTTCCCAAGCGCCCCAATATAACCTGCAAAATGACCCCGAGGAGGTAAATATTCTTCCATTTTACAAATGAAAAAAAAACAGGCTCAGAGAAAACAACTTGCCAAGGATCCTGTCGGCTAAGAGGTGTGGGAGTTGGGAGTTTCAGCCTCATCTTCCAAATCCAAATCCTGCCTCTCTGGGCCGCCTCTGAAGGGCCCCATTCCACGCAGCAGCTGGCGTGCATTGCAGAGCACAGGCGGTGGGAGATGATATCACGCCTTAGCATTCACGTTTAATAGCAACAACAAAAATTTTAAAGGCTTGAAGTGAGGCCTTTGGTTTTGCTCTGAACCCGATTCTACACAGCTAGCTCAACTGCTAGCGATGTGAGGTGTCCAACTCCTAAGGCACAGTTCCTATAATGCACCGCAGTGGCCCAGCCAGGGAGAGAGAATCCAGATGTTTAGCAGAGGCAGTTTTAAATGCCGGTCCAAAAAAACGAAGGGGAGCTGGCACAGTGGTCTGGCAACTAGATACCCTGGTTTCTAAGCGTTTCCACATCAGATATTCTACCCGTGGCTACACAATCGTTTCTGATGTTCTCTAGGAAATGGGGTTGGCATATATAAAGGACGTGATTAGCTGGAGGACTTCAAAAAGGAAGAAGGAACGGAGCTGTGCATTGAAGTCTTTCCTGTGTGCTGGACGCCGTACCGAGAACTTCATCACGCACAGTCATAGCACCTCCAAGAGGTGGGCACTCTTGACTCTGTTTCACAGGGAGAAACCTGAGGCTGAGTAACGTTACGGGACTTACCATATTGTAGAAATGGAGTTCTCGGTGTGTCTGGTTCTAAAGCCCCCGCCCTTTGTGCCACATGATGCTAGTCTCTTAGGTTGGACTTTGAGGGGGAGGTTTACACATCCCTTCCGCGCCTGTTACTTATTGCTGTGTAACAAGTCACCCTCAGAATTTAGCAGCTTCAGGCAACGAACATCTCTCCGTTTGTGTGAAGCAGGAATCTGGATGTGGCGTGGCTGGGTCATCTGATTCGGAGTTTCTCACCAGGCTGCCATCAGCACGTCTTAAATATTTACAAGGAATATTCAAAAGCAGGAACTATAGACAGCATCGTTTAATTTTTAAGTAATCCGTACTCCCAACATGGGGCTCGTACTCACACCCCCAAGACTGAGAGTCACATGCTCCACCCACTAAGCTAGCCAGGCACCCCAGAAAACATATTTAATTATAAAATGTCAAATGTTTTCCTGTGTAGGAGGCAGATCAAGTGCCTGTCACCACTTAATATCACAGTAGAGACCGTAATCAGCGGAGTGAAGCAAAAGGAATAGAAAGGAAAAAATTACCCTTTTTGTTCACAGATGACACTATGCAGTTAGATAATCTGAAAGAATTCACAGATTATTAGAAA